ATACATTAGAACTTCCTTCCATCTCCGAACAAACAAATACGCACATTATCGCTACTCCTTCACCTTATAATGAAGGTATAACTACCATATCTCATCTTCCTTTATTTTTACTTAGCTAATAATAACTAGGTTCCTACTCTTGCTATCCTTGCCGTCGCGCCGGCCATGGTCAATGCCTGCGCTGGGTACCGTTATTGCCGCTGTGGTAATATCGACGACACTAAAACCGTATCTGTCTGCCAAAACTGGTTCAGCGGCAAAACCTCGGTAGAGACCTTCGAAGACGGGCACAAATACTGCAAGATCGATGGATTTTTTACCACTGGGCTCAATAATTGCGATTTCAAGCTTGCCTGCAGTAATGGCTTCGACTCTGATTGCTGGGTAAATATCGGTCACTGATTTACATAAACAATTCCTTAGGTCTAGGAGACATGGGTTTAGTGTAACGCTGTTATAATAATGCCAAGCTTCAGACCCATTCCGGAACGGGATTGGAGGGAGTATTTGTGTCAGATTGAGATGGATTATCAAAGATGGGTGAATAATGATGAATTATTGATCGTATTGCTTGATCTGATCTGAGTTGTTCTTGTGTCTGCCCTGATCCACGCTGATCCAAAGGGGTTGGATTAGATGGATCGCGGTGGATCTCCGCGCTGACTAATCTGACTGATCCATAGAATCCGGGTGCTCCGATCCACACCCGGATTCTGTCCACCACCCAAGATATGCCCATATTCTGACAATCTGCCGCCCACTCCTCAGTCCGTTGTCCTAGGGTCGGACCTGACTCGGACCCGACCTGGACAGGTATATAGGGAGACACTTCCTGTAGCTAGTTCTGTAGACTTTTGATATCCTTTTGTATAAGGCCTATAGGTGTCTATTCGAATCAAGGCTCGTTTGATGTCCCACGCACACAGATGTCAATGAGCAAGCTGAGCGAGCTCAGCCAATTGGCTTGCTCAGCCAATTGAGCGGAGGCCAGCAGCTCGCTCGGCTCGCTCGGATTGGCTGAAACAGGGCTGTCAGCTCGCTCGGCTTGATGGGCTCAGTCCCGATTAGGAAAGTTATATAGAAACCTTGGTGTTGAGTTTCTCAGCTAATATCCCACTTATGTACACCGTATTTCGCGTCCATCTCCTCATCGCTGATAGCCTCCTTTACAGGCACCTCACCACTGCCAAATCCAGCTCTTATCCATCGTCGATCGCACTGTATTGCTGCTAGAAGTTGCGGAGAAATGCTGCGCCGACGGGGCTCGAGGAGGTCACCCAGCTCGCTGAATAAGCGCTCACACTCACAGCTTGAGCCTGGGATTGATAGCATGTCGATAGCAAATTTGCTAAGGCTGGGGTAGCGATCGCGGAGTCCTACCCAGTATTTTATAGGGTCGACGCCCTCGCTAGCGATCGGTTCGCTGCGTTTCCAAGCCTCATATTCATCCTCCTCGTTCTCCGTAAGCCCTGCAGGCTCAATAAAGCTGTTGATAGCGTCGTCTATATCATTGTGCCTGACTTTGGGGCGTAAGCGCGGCTTCGGTAAGCTTTTGTACTCCGCCCACAAATGTTGAAACTTGCGGTTGCTGCTCTCTAGCCAATCAGGCTTATCCGCCCACGCTGCGTCAAGGTAGCTTTTGTAGCGAGGATGAAGGATTGTAGCAGCATAGTAAGCTGGCGAGAGGTCGAGCTTGTTGTAGTACTCGCGGGCTTTAACTAGGGCAGCGCGGAGGTTGATAGCAAGGTGGTCTTCGGGTGACTCTGTATGCTCATCGTGAATGACGTCTTCATAGCTTTGCAAGCGGTCCTCATAGACTCCAAGTAAGTATTCAAATACTGGAATAACCTCAGCGATTGCTCCAAAAGCACCGCTTTTGCCGCGGCCTTCAAGCCGTTTTGTAGCTTGTTTCAGTGGCCTGAGCACATCAATATACTCAGCAATCACCTGCCAGTCATGGGCATTGATCCCATCAGACCTCATCCAATCCGGCGCTGCAGGCAGCTTGTTGTTACGACTTCGGGCGTACGCGTCTTCAGTTTCAATCTTCTGAATATGGTAGTTGGCGTACCCATTAACCGCTAATTGCAACTCAACAGCGCGCTCAAAACACGAAACGTAAGAGTTCCAGCGAGTAACAACTGGCTTGACGGGCTCCTTGATTTTGTGCTGTTCTGTTGGCGCGTTGACAGGCTGGTCCCTAATAGCGAGCTTCTGATACTTCTCAAAAAGAGCGTACTGTTGTGGTGTTTTGATGTAGTTGATAACCGCGAGAAGCACTCCTAATGGTCCATCGCCTCGCCAAGTAGCCATGTTCTCAGCTTCGTTCACGCGCTCAGTCTCCTCGTTGTCGTAGGACTCTTTCTCCTCACCCCAGAGTAGCATCTGGCCAATGAGATTAAGCGTATGAGGACCGCAGCGAAGGCGACGCTCGGTAGCGCTGAAGCCCATCTGCAAGGCGAGAGTGTTGATCGTGGTGTTGTTGTTATGTGCGTTGTCGAGGACGAAGTAACCGAGCTTGCCCACAGTGATTTCGAACTGCTTGAATATTGCCATCACGACCTCAGCCATGGCCTCGCCGGTGTGGGCACCTGTCAGTTGTGGGAGCGCAATAGGCAAGTCCCTGAGCTCGCCAGAGCTATCAACGTAGTGGGCGACGATACCTAAGTAACCGCGCTTGCCACCTTTTGTCGTCCATCCGTCAAAGCTTATATGGACTTTGCTCATTGATTCTGAAAGGCTTGCGACAACCTTTGGTAACAGGTAGTTGTACAGGCGTATAACGTATCGTGAGACGCTGTTATGAGATGCCCACAGGGCTCGTTCTGCCTCTACGCTAGCTAATTGTATCATATTGCGAAAAGACGATGATTCGAATTGTGAGAGTGGGAGGTTGTTTTCGACGAGCCAGGTGACGGCCGCAAGCCTAAACTCTTGTATATTGAAGTTGGTAAGCTCGTTGGCAACAGCCTGAGAGCAGCCCTTCTGAAGGGCGCGTTCGAGGAGAGTTTCTTTCCGAGGAGCGACGGTAGTGCGCTTACTTGGAGGCTTCAAGCCATGACCTTTCTTGTCTTCTCCGAGATGACGTGCTGGCGCTGATGGAGACTGCGAGACGTCATGTATGCCACGGCCAACAGTAGTGAACTTGTGCTTATAGCAATAGTGGCAGATCCACGTGACTTTTGCGACGTTGCTGCGCAAGGCGATGCGATAGCTATGGCTGTATACCCAGCTTGCTCGGTTCGAAAGTGATGTGGGCGGCTTGCAGTGCTTTGGGTAGCGACTCCAATTAAAGCCGTCGTATTTGTCCTCTACCCATACGAAACCCTCGTCGACAGCCTCGCTAGCTGCTCCTGAAGCTGCAACAGTGGCATGCTCGCTGCCCTCAGGTGGTGGGATGATTGTCTCTTCGGCGCGCGACTCTCGGAGGGTCGCTTCAAAATTTGGTGCTTGTGGCGCGGCGACGAGAGCTTGACGCGGCGACAGCGGTGGAGGAGGTGGAGATGGTGAGAATGGCCGAGTATCGACTAGCACAGGTTGGCTGGCAGTCCCGCGATGACGCGCTGCGACTCTAGGGCGCTTCGAAGTTGTCGCGATTTCTAGAGCATTAACGCGTGTTCTTTTTGCTGGCATTATAGCAACGGCGAGGTAGATAATAGCTGCAAATAGAGACGCGTTGATGGAGTATAGGTGAGTGTGGTGGGTGATAAGTAGTAAGTGAAGTGTCGCAGAAGGAGAATATTGTTGCCAGGCCGTTAGCCGGAAATTTAGTAGCTTATTTGCTAGAAATATAGCAAAAAAGAGTGTATTTTAGGTTATAACTAGGTTTCGAACTTACGCACTACACCTAAAAATCATCGTGAGATTGCCCCTCCACCAAGTCCTTCAGCCCCAAGTTTCCAACCGCCCCATCCAACCAAGCTAAGCAAGCTGACTGAGCGAGCGCCTATCCCTAAGCTCGCTCGGCTTGCAAGCGCGCACTGCGCGCTCAGCTCATTCGGCTTGGTCAAAACGTCCAAGCCGAGCGAGCTGAGCGAGCCGGCTCGCTCGTTGACAAGTATGGCAGGAATCCAGCGATGATGCGTCTGGAGTATCTCCAGGAGCATAGCCGGTCTTACCGTCACAAGAAAGTGTAGCATCGCAAGTCACAAGCCATGGTGCGGGTCTATATGTTGGCTCTTCGAAGATTTTGGATGTGTATTCTCTGACTGACAGGGATAGTGAAGCATAAGAACCAACCAAGGAGTAGACTCCGCAACAATCAATTCAATCCGCTCACTCTTTTAGGCCCACTTACTTATCTAGGTAGGACTTAAACTCCCATAGGCAACTACTAGGCTTAAAGCGGTAGACTCCGCAACAATCAATTCAATCCGGTCACTCTCCTAGACCCACTTACCTATCTAGGTAGGGCTTAAACTCCTATAGGTAACTACTAGGCTTAAAGCGGTAATCAATCAATCCAATCTGAACCTTCTAGGACCCACTTAATTGATTGTTGCGGACTGTGCTTGGCGTTCTCGCTTATGGTCACCCACCCAACAAATCGTCCGATCTGATAATGCTGGTGCGCTTCCAACGGTTTCCGGGCTCATAACTGTCGAACTACAAAAAGGCCGACCTTCCTGCAGTTGTAGCATGAAGGTATATATAGTGGATAGTCTGACAAGCTATGTCGTTATGTTCGAAGCGCAGATCGAGATGAGGATGTTCTTCATTACCCTCCCCTGCCACCACTGGGGGGGAAGAGAAGCCATGCAGAAAGCCAAGGATGATAAGTATCGGGGAACTGAGTGGGCGAAATCGTTGTTGTATTGAGAACAGCGAAGGACTAGCTATATAGGTGCGGGGTGAAGCCTAGAAGAGGCTAGCCCCTAAGCAGAAGGAGCTAGTCCTATAAGAGGAGAGCTAGCTGGTGAGAAGTGAATGCATGGAGACTGGCTTGCCCGGCCGACAATAAGGAGAAAGTCGGGAACCATGATGGCAGGTTTGACAGTAGTAGTAGTAGTAGTAGTATCCATTAACGTCCTTTTTCAGTCAGAGACTATGTAGGACGGTGGCCTAGGGCCGTTTGACTAGTTTTTTCCCTCTATACCCGTAGGATTTCGTTTCTTTGGTCGAGTTTGACTATGGGGGTTTGGGTTTTTTGCTTCTATACAGGAAAGAGAGAGAGACCTTGTAATAGACACCCGTTTATCTCCACCTTTGTGACCAATCCCTTTGCTATAATAACCCGGTGCTCCTAAGACTGAAAAAAAAACCTCGTAGGGGAAAAAGTCATGGGACCTTGAACGTTTGTTGTATATAGCGGCAGTTGCGGCATATTTTCGTCTCGGCGGTACTTTGTGGCTCGGTTGTACGGCGGCGGCTAGCGTTAAGCGTAGACTCCGCAACAATCAATTCAATCCGGTCACTCTCCTAGACCCACTTACCTATCTAGGTAGGGCTTAAACTCCTATAGGTAACTACTAGGCTTAAAGCGGTAATCAATCAATCCAATCTGAACCTTCTAGGACCCACTTAATTGATTGTTGCGGACTGTGAGCACTAGTGCTGAAAGGAAATAACGATAACTAGGAATGCATTCTGTTCGGTGGTTCTGATTGATTCTCTTGCGAAGGGGAACTATGGAAGAGCTAGATATAGGAGGTCTGGTCTGAGCGCTGTTCGGACGCCGCGATCAGTGCACCTGTCCGCGTGACTGATATCAGTGCGCCTGCTCGCGTGACCGAGATTAGTGCGGCCGATCGCGTGGCTGAGATATCGTTGATATCTGTGATCCGACATGGAGATTCATTAGTCACATGAAGCTAGAGCTGTGCTTGACGCACCTCCAAAAATATGGGGTAGTGAACTATTCCTGCAGTAGCAACTTGAAGAGATCATTGTTAGCTACCAACACCAACACGAACATGAGGGCACCAACTCTCACTTCCTAAGAAGGAATATCACCCGTAGAACCCAAAAGAGTCGATAATGCCAGCGAATTCATGCACCACGATACTAGTCTCGTGACAAAGATTAGATGTATCCTAGATCGGGGCTGCTGACATGCGGCGCTTTCAGCAGTTTTGGGCGAATTTGGACACGTCAGGTACCCGAAAATAGCCTGGTCAGCCAATCTTGGAGATTTTTGGGGCATGCCAGTCTGTAATAAGTAGTTTTGACGCTAGGTGCCTAAAAGAGGAGCTACGAGCGATAATCCTTCTCACGGAATTGGCCGTTGGAGACTTTCCACGCCAAAAGGATTACCGGATGGTTGCTCGGGCGAACACACTGGTAAGGGGTGGACGCATTCATAAGCACTAAAATCTTTACCCCTTACGAGCAGACTCCGCAACAATCAAATCAATCAATCTTAAGGTTGTCGATTGGTTTGATTAGCTTGCGGCGACGCTGCTGATTGATTGCGGATTGATTGTTAGGGTTTTTGAGCAGATTGATTGCGATTGATTGGTTGATTGCAGACTCCGCAACAATCAATCGGATCGGCATGATTGATTCCTATCTAGGTTAAAGGCTGCCTAATGAAGTAATTCTTTAACCTATATAGGAATCAATCATGTCAATCGATTGATTGTTGCGGAGTCTGGTTGATTGGCTGATTGATGCTAAGAAGTAGTATACAGGGGGTTATGGTGTTGTACTCCAGCCTTCTATATCGTACTGTTGTACAATCTCCTCATCTTTGACGTCACTCCACTTATCTTCATCATCACCGTTGTTGTACAAGCCGTCAAAGCCAGCTCGTCTCCACGAACGTACAAGCTGAAGGGCAGCAAGTAACTCGCTGCCAAGAGCTCGCCGGCGCGGCTCAAGTAAATCGCCAAGCTCGCTAAAGAGCCTCTCGCAGTCGCAACTAGATGCTGGTATCGTGAGTATATCAATCGCAAACTGGCTTAAACACGGGTATTTTGAGCGTAATTGAATCCAGTACTTGACTGGGTGGCCATCGCTAAGATACTGTTCGCTTGTCCACTCTGGCTCTCACAGTCCGCAACAATCAATTAAGTGGGTCCTAGAAGGTTCAGATTGGATTGATTGATTACCGCTTTAAGCCTAGTAGTTACCTATAGGAGTTTAAGCCCTACCTAGATAGGTAAGTGGGTCTAGGAGAGTGACCGGATTGAATTGATTGTTGCGGAGTCTACTGGCTCTTGAGTTCTCCAGCGCTCGTACTCATCGTCGTGGGCAGCCTCTACCTGAGCCTTGTTGCGCCGTACGAGGGCGCCAATCACATCATCTATTCCTCTATGCCTTGGTTTTGCAGTTGTTTGAGATAGAGGACGTGTACGTTGAGGCTTATACGACTGCCAGAGCTGCAGGAAGCCAGCGTTGGCTGATGTTAGCCATTCTGGCTTATCCACCCAGCTGTTCTCGCAGTAGTATTTGTAGTATGGATGGAGGCAGGTAGCAGCGTAGTATGCTGGCGATCGATCGAGCTTGTTGTAGTAATCGTTGGCCTTACTCCAGGCGGCGCGGAGGTTAACAAAGAGGTGATCTTCAGGCGCATCAGGTGGGTTGAAGTCAACTTGCTCGTACGAGCGCGTACGGGCTTCGAGCGCGCCAAGTACGTATTCAAATACAGGAATAGTCTCATATATAGCGCCGTATTTGCCTGCCTTTCCGCGACCCTCAAGCTTCTCCGTAGCAAGCTTAAGCGGCTCTAGGCAGTCCTGATACTCTGTTATCACCGCCCAATCAGCAGCTGTAAGTCCTGTTGATCTCATCCAACTAGGTGCTTCAGGGAGTTTATTGCCACGTTGACAAGCGCGGCGATCTTCAAGGGAGAGTGCGTTAATGTAGTGCTCAGCGTAAGAGTTGTATGCTGCCTGGAGTTGAGTTGCGCGTTTGAAGGCAGCGTAGTAAGAGTTCCAGCGTGTAACAACAGGCTTCACAGGCTCAAGTACGTGGAGGCGCTCTCTAGCTGGCAACTCGGCGTTGGCGGCGGTTTGGAAGCTTCGGAAAATTTCGTGTTGTTGAGGCGTTTTTATATGGTTGATAACGTCGATAAGTACACCTAAGGGCCCTTCTTGACGCCACTCCTGCATGTACACCTCCTCTGTTTGGAGCTGCTCGTCGTTGTTGTTGTTGTACGCCTCTTGATTGCTGCCAAAGATAATTGCCTGGCCAATAAGGTTAAGCGTGTGAGGGCCGCAGCGGAGGCGTCGGTGAGCAGCGTTGAAGTCGTACGCGTGGGCGAGCGAGGAGACTGCAGTATCGTTGTTTGCAGCATTGTCGAGGACGAAGTAGCCGAGTTTATCACTCCCAATACTGTATTCTTGGAGCGTCTTTTTAATTGTATCAGCGATAGCATCACCAGTATGAGAGCCTGCGAGATGTGGGAGGGCGATGGGGAGATCTTGTATCACTCCAGAGGCGTTAGCAAAGTGTGCAACGACTCCAAAGAATCCACGCTTGCCACCCTTTGTCGTCCAACCATCAAAGCTTATGTGGATCTTGCTTGCAGCTTCTGACAGAGCGCAGACAATCTGTGGCTGCATATATTGGAAGAGGCGCATTGCGTAGGTAGCTACACTGCGAGGACTTACCCACAAAGCTGCCTCTGCCTCTGGGTTTGCAAGGCTAATCATCTCGCGAAAGGACGGCCTTGCAAGTAGCTCCATTGGCAAGTTGTTATCAAGAAGGCAGAACACTGCAACTTCACGAAACTGCTGGATGTTGAAGTTGCCCATCGCGTTGGCAGCCTCTTGAGAGACTGCAACACCAGTCTCCAGCGTCTGTCGTAGAGAGAGTTGCTGCCCTGTTCTTCGAGGCTTCAGGCCGTCTTTTGTAAAGCCATGGCCTCGTTTCTGAAGGCCAAGATGAGCTGCAGCTGAGGAGGTGGCCTTTGATACGTCAAAAACTCCACTGCCGCCAGTGTCAATGACCTTGTGGATGTGGCAGTATTTGCATACAAACCACACTCGATTCTGATCGTAGAGCTCAACAACGCGATATCCATGTTGAAAGATCCAACTCTTGACGCGCCGCCCAGTTGTAAGAGGCTTCATGAACCGAGGGAGGCGATCCCAGTTAATGCCGTCAAAGTTATCGCCATTATCAGGCTCTGTATCCAGACTCCGCAACAATCAATCGATCGACATGATTGATTCCTATATAGGTTAAAGAGTTACTTTATTAGGCAGCCTTTAACCTAGATAGGAATCAATCATGCCGATCCGATTGATTGTTGCGGAGTCTGTCTGTATCAACACTAGCCTCTGTTGTTGCTGCTGTACCAGCCTGGCTGCCCTCAGCCGCACCCTCCTCCTCTGTTTGCGACTCGAAAAATTGCGACTCAAACGTTGTGGCCTGGCTTACGGCGGCGCCAAGGGTTTCCTGAGGCGACAGCGATCGCTGAGATAGGACAGAGGGCCTTGATAGGCGCGCCCGTTTGGCGGCGGCGGCGGCGGCAGCAGTATTGGTGGGAACTCGAGAGCGTTTGGCCATCGTGGGCGATACTAAACACTAAAGAAAAATGTCTGTATAGGTAGCTAGGCAACTAGTGTTGTGTGTAAGGGATTATTAGGGAACTGAGTGAGCGAAATCGTTGTTGTATTAAGAACAGCGAAGGACTAGCTATATAGGTGCGGGGTGAAGCCTAGAAGAGGCTAGCCCCTAAGCAGAAGGAGCTAGTCCTATAAGAGGAGAGCTAGCTGGTGAGAAGTGAATGCATAGAGACTGGCTTGCCCGGCCGACAGGGATCACAAGCTAAGCGAGATAGGGGTCCAAGATAACTATCTTCAACACCAAAAACCTTCTCTTAATACGACACTACTCGCCTTACAACTCGTTAATAATAAATCAATCTAACT